AATTGTTTTACTAACTCTAGTTGTGAGGGTGTGTGTGTTCTTTGGTATTTTCTTTATATAGGATCTTGGCATTACAAATATAGTTTTACTGCCTTTCCAATTTGTATACTTTTATTTCCTTTTCTTGCTTAGCTGCTCTGGCTGGAACTTCTAGTACAATGTTGGATAACAGTGGTTATCCTTGTCTTATTTCTAATCTTAGTAAGGAAGCTTTCAGTGTTTCATTATTGAGTATGATGTAAGGTTCGGGTTTTTCATAATGTTCTTTATCATATATTCTCTGCTATTCCTAGTTTGAGTATTTTTATCATGGAAAGGTATTGGAATTTATCTAATTATTTTTCTTTATCAGTTGAGATGATCATGAGGTTGTTGTTTTGTTTTGTTTTGTCTTTTTACCTTTGTTCGAAAGTGTATTATGTTGACTAATTTTCTAATGTTGACGGATACTTCCATTTCATGGATAAATTGTACGTGGTGTATAATCCTTTTACTGTGTTGTTGGATTCAGTTAGCTAATGTTTTCCTGATGACTTTTGCATCTATATTCATAAGAGATATTGGTATGTAGTTTTCTTGTGGTGTCTTTGCTGACAGGGCAGATGAATGACTTATGAAGTCATTTTCTACTTTTTGGATGAGTTTCCTCCTTTTCTACTTTTTGGAAGAGTTTGAGAAGAATTAGTGGTTTCCCTTTAAATGTTTGGTAAAACTCAACAGTGAAACCATGTAGTCCTGGACTTTTCTTTGTTGGGAGGTTTCTTGAGGGAATGTTCCATGTGTTTTTAAGAATATGTATTCATCCGTTGTTGGGTGTCATGTTCCATATATTTCTCTTATGTTTAGGTGGTTTATTATTCAGATCCTCTATTCCCTTAATGATCTTCTGTCTAGATGGTATATCTACTTTTTTTTTTTTTTTAAAGATTGTATTTATTGACAGAGACAGCAAATGCAGGAACACAAGCAGGAGGAGTGGGAGAAGGAGAACCAGGCTTCCCTCGGAGCAGGGAGCTCGATGCATTGTTTGATCCCAGGACTCTGGGATCATGACCTGAGCCAAAGGCAGACACTTAATGATCGAGCCACCCAGGCGCCTCAGTCTATCCACTTTTGAAAGTGGGCTATTAAGTCTCCAACTATTGCTATAGAACTGTGTACTCCTCCTCTCGATTCTGTCAGTAATTGCTTCATGTATTTAGGAACTCTTTTTGATGTGTATTATGTTTATATTTGTTATAATCTTCACAAATTGACCCTTTTATCAATATATATTCTTTATCTTTCGTATCAGTTTTTTATTTAGTCTATTTTGTCTGATATTAATATAACCACCTTATTCCCTTTTGGTTACTATTTGCATGGAATATCTTTTTTGTGTCCTTTCATTTTCAACCTGTGTGGGTCTTTGAATCTAAAGTGAGTCTCTTGTAGACAACATGTAGTTGGATCATATTTATCTCCATTCAGCCCTCTCTTTGATTAGAAAATTTAATTCATTTATACTTGAAGTAATTGGTGATAAGGAAGCACTTTTGCTATTTGGGTTTTTTTTTTTTTTATGTGTTGACACCTTTTTGTTCCTTCATTACTGCTTAAAAAAATTTTTTTTTGTAAGAAACCATTTTAATACCCTTCTTATTTCCCTTGTATATATTTTTAAAGTATTTTGTTAGTGGTTACCTTAGGGATTACAATTAACACCATAAATTTCTAACACTCTAGTTTGAAATGTTACCAGATTAGCTTCAGTGGCTTCAGAATCCTTGCTCCTATACAGCTTTGCACCTCTTTTGTGTTTTTGCAGATTTTGCAAAGATCCAAATTGCATCTTTATATGTTGTATCCCCATTAATACAGATTTGTAATTATTGATTTATGTATTTGCCTTTTAAATCATGTAGGAAATGAACAGAGAAGTTACAAGCCAAAAACACATTAATACTTGTTTTTATATTTAGCTGTGTAGTTACCTTTACCAGAGATTTTATTTCTTCCTATGGCTTCAGTTTACTGTCCAGTGTCCTTTTATTTCAGCCTCAAGGACTTGCTTTAGCATTTCCTGTAGGGCAGATATACTAGTAACAGTCTCTTAGCTTTTGTTTAATGTTGCCTTTATTTTTGAAGGATATTTTTTGCTAGATATAAAATTCTTGGTTGACAGGTTTCCCCCAACACACACCTTTCCACACTTTAAATATGTCATTTCTCTGCCTTCTGGCCTCTGGTTTCTGCTGAGAAGTTGGCTGACAATCTTCCTGAGGATCTCTTGATTATGATGAGTTGCTTCTCTCTTGCTTTCAAGATTCTCTCGTCTTTTGTTTTCAACAGTTTGAATGTAATATATGAATCTGAATCTCTTTATATGTATTCTTGGGGTTTGTTGAGCTTCTCAGATATGTGGATTCATGTCTTTTGTCAAATTTAGAAAGTTCATGACCATTATTTTATCACTATTTAGCTAAAAGAAGCAACACAAGTGTCCATCAAGGAAAGAGTGGATAAGCAAAATGTGTGTGTGTGTGCGCGCGCGCGTACCTGTCGGTCTACACACACACAGTTGAATATTTTTAATCCTTAAGTGGCAAGGAAATTCTAACACGTGCTGTAATACGAGTGAACCTTGAGGACATTATGCAACGTGAAATAAGCCAGTTACAAAAAGTCACATACCACTACTGCTTTCACTTTCTATGAGGTACATAGAGTAGTTGATTCATAGAAACAGAAAGAGTGGTAGTTTCCAGAACCTAAGGGAAGGTGGCTTTGGGGAGTTATTGTTTAATGGGTATGAAGTTTCAGTTTTTTAAGATAAAAAGAGTTCTGGGGATAGTTGGTGGTGATGATTTCATAACAGTATCAATTACTTAGTGTCACTTTAAAATGGTAAATTTTATGTATATTTTATCTTAATAAAAATGGGAAAATACACTGTGTTGAATTTTTTCAAAATATAGAGGTGGAACAATTATTGTCTAACTCATTTTATGAAGCCAGCATAACACTGATATCACTGATATCAAAATCTAAGATATTATGGAAAAAGAAATTTTAAGAACAATGTTCTTCATGAATATTGATCTAAAAATCTTTTACAGAATAATAGCAGATTGGAGCCAGCAATTACAATACATTAATACCAGAGAGGATTTATCCCAAGATCACGAAGTTGGTTTAACATTGAATGAATCAATGTTATTCATCACATTAACAGAATAGTGGTGAAAAGCATATGATCATTTCAAAATATGTCAAAAAGTATTTGCCAATTCAGTATCTATCTATTTATGGCTAAAAACTCTTAGCCAAACTAGGAATGGTAGGGAACTTTCTCCAACTGCTAAACAACATCCACCAACCTATAACTAATATGTCAAACTTAACCATTGCTCCTGAGATTAGGAACAAAGCAAGAATACTTGTTTTAACCACTTACATTCACTATCGTTTCATAGGGCCACCCATTAAATAAGACATAAACGCAGGGAAAACTAGTTAAAGGCATAAAGATGGGAATGTAAGAAATACCACTGCCCTTGTTTGCAGGTTATGTAATTGTTCACATAGAAAATTCCAGTGATTCTAAACAAATTTAATGGAATTATAAGTTACAAGGTTAATATATAGTTATCTGTTATATTTTATATACTTGATCATTTTGTAAATGTGAAAGAGATAGAAGCCAGACTCAACTTTTTCCCAAAATTTTCTCCTAGAATTTTTCAGTTATACAGAAAAAATGAAAGAACTACCAATGAACATGTACATATTCACTGCCTAGGTTCTATTATTAATTTTTGCTGCATTTACTTTACCACATATGTCCATCTAATCATTTCCCTATCTTTCCTAATTTTATTTATTTCAAAGTAAGATGTAGACCTCAGTATGCTTCACGTGTAAACACTCAAGTGCTTATTTCATTAAAGTTCTAATATTTATATGCTTTGTTTTTCCTTACAGTAAAATTTAAATACAATGAAAAGTGTAGTTAGTCATAATGATATCGTTCTATGAATTTTGACAAAGGCATATTCACTCATGTAATCAAAATCCGATTAAGGTATAGAACATTTTTATTATCTTCAAAGAGATTTGGGCAGAATGACTATTCAGGATTTGGGACTCCCCTTCTGTACTACCCTTCTGGGATTTCCCTCCTTTACTTTCTAGATCTCTGCTGTCCACTGGAACTCTATGTGGTGATGGAAATGTTTTATAATTTGTACAATCCAAAATGGTAGCCACTTGATATATGTGGCTGTTAAACATTTAAAATGCGGCTAATGCAGCTGAAAAATGGAATTTTAAATTTTAATTTATATTTGTATAGTGAATACTATATTGAACAGACTGTCACTATAGAAAGTTCTTTTGGACAGCACTGTTCTAGCTGCTGTGGTCATCTTGAACTTTTTCTGTTTCTCAGCTAATAAGGCTACAGGCTTCTATTTAGACTTGAGCTGATCTGTACATTCAGGGTAGAGCATTTCCTCAACTGAAAAGATTTAGAAAATAGGAAGCTCAAGCAGTGCTTCCTTTTTCCCTCATGTGAGCTCCCTTTCAATTCATGCCTAATTTTGATTGCTCTCAAGAGCCTTGAAGTGGTTGTTTTTATATTTTTTTTTACTACGGTTTATAATTATATCTGTGTCCAGTAAGAATTACTTCACCATTTACCAGAAGTCAAATTCTACCCCTTAGCTTTTTTAAAATTGTTGTTGTTTATTTTTCTATCTCTTAACTTCTAAACTATTTTAGTAGTGATCCAGTTTTAAGGAATTCGTTTTTTGTGTTTTGTTATTAGAATTCATTTACCAACCACTTGTTATTCTTTCATCTTTAGCCTTGTTAAAAGTATCACTAACTTTTAAGGTTACTGAATCTTAATATTGTAAATTTGATATTCCCATCTCAGATATGCTAGAATTTAATGGAATTCTTCAAAGCAGTAAACTCATATCATTGATAACCTGTTTGGTATACTTTGCCTTTTCTAGGTACCTGAAAAGGTTTAAGGTGATGAAGATCAAAGTTCTAAGAAGCTGGTGCCGTCAAATCCTTAAAGGACTTCAGTTTCTTCATACTCGAACTCCACCTATTATTCACCGAGATCTTAAGTGTGACAACATCTTTATCACTGGCCCTACAGGCTCAGTCAAGATTGGAGACCTAGGTCTGGCAACCCTGAAGCGGGCTTCTTTTGCCAAGAGTGTAATAGGTATGTTTCAGGTGTACCTTGCATCCTAACTGGTTTTCTGATATTCCTTTTATTTTGATACCTGACCCTGTTAGAATTTTCATTATGTGAAATAAGCCTTCGAAAATTCCTAGCTTGAACTCAGGAAGTGATCAGTTTTACTTATGATATGTGGAGTTCTCTATATGCTTCTGGAATCATCTGGAAGACTAACTGTTTTATAAAGTTATGTGAAGAGAAGTAAAGGGAATTTTGTTGACAAAACCTTATGTAACTATCAATCTTACTGGGTCATTCCATTGATATATATTAATTATGTAGTTATTTATATAAGTACTGTATAATAATTACTATATAATACATATAGAGTTACTTTCTTATGAAAGAAATTGAATTTATATGTAGTTTACTTTCTAAAGAAGTGTTAGATTATATGTATTCAAAAGTATCTACCTGTTAAGACTTTATTTTAAAATGTGAAAATGAGTTTATTCTGAGTACTTGGTTTTAACTTTTCTTACTCCTACTCTTCAGAAGATATATCTGAAACAGAGCTTTTCAACCCTAGTGTTATTTTACATTTGGATAGTTCTTTGTTGTAAGGGCTTTCTAGTGCATTATAAGGTTATTTAGATGCCAGGAGCACATCTCCTTTCCAGCTCTCCCACAGTTGTTATAACCAAAAATGTCTCTGGACTAAATGTCCCTGGGTAACAAAATCACCCCTTGTTTAGAATCACTGATCCAAGAACAAGCCTGTCCTTTCAGACTTTCAACTATATGTTATAGAGTTGCAGCCGGAAAAATAATTTAATGCTTATTACTTTGATAACCTTTCACTCTCTGAAGAGGATATGACACTTTGAAAATTTGAAATCTTTGCAGATATTCTATTCTCCCCCCAAAGTTGGTGACAGCAAGGAAACCATTAATTTTTAAGTACGCTGGAATTTTATGTATTAAGAGAAAACCATAAAACACCAGTAATTTGTACATTCTTCTAAAATAGTGTCCTCCATGGAATATTATGTGACTTGGATTTGGAATACTATTTTTAGATTTTCTTAAAATAGATTAACAAGAAGAATTGGGAAAGAGTTATTTAAAGCTGAATTTCCTTTTTGTCTTCCTTATAGGAAAAGGAAACATTTCTTTGATTGTCTTTGACTCCTTAAAAATCTCTAACTCAAGAGAGTTTCCCCCCCGCCTTTTTTTTTTGTTTAAACCATGCTATGTAAGCCTGTTCTTGGAAATGTCCTACAGTTTGAGGTATCCAGACTTAATTTCTTTGGAACCATTGGAAAACCTGGTCTGTGGGATCACATACTCTGTGCTTGTAACTCAGTCTGTATTTGAGTTCTTCATTTATGTGTATTTGTTTTTTGTCTGTAAGATCTGTAAGATGTCCTTCACTGTATTTTTTGTTATCTGCAGTAGACTTATTTGTGTACTGCAGGTGGTATGGTAAGTATGTAAAGAAAGGGTTCTGGTGAGTGGCCTTTATAGACCATTACATTTTTTTTTTCTTTTAAAAAACATATTGAATATTGGATTTTTCATGCAAGGCCTCCTTAAAAGTGAAATTGATCAGGTGGAATTAATGGCCAAAGACTAGCTATAAATACCAACCTTACAACTACCATACAGCAGGGGGCAGGCAAGTATTTTGATCTTTATTAACCCATCTTGTCTTACTGGTAGATGCCATTGTATCCTCTTTATTTCTTGCTCGTCTCTTACTTTTCCTTGCATTTGTTTTCATTATGAATTATATCAGTTTTTCTATTATCCAAGTTTCTATTTTGACATTGTATAGCAGTAATCCATTTGAAACAGTAAATAAATAAACACTTGACCCTGTCCTGGTTTCTTTTATGAAGGCCATGCAGCAGAAGTTCTGACATATTTGGTGGAAGAAACTAAGATTTTCTTCCTCTTCCCTGCCCCCACCACTCTTCTCTCTTCTCTTCCCTCCCCTTCCACTTGCTTCTATCTCACAGGTCAACCCCTCTGCTTCTCCCCCAGGTGAGTAACATCTGTAGCCTCTGCTCACATTGAGTCTAAATTGTTCTTTTAATTTAAGGTACCCCAGAGTTCATGGCCCCTGAGATGTATGAGGAAAAATATGATGAATCTGTTGACGTTTATGCTTTTGGGATGTGCATGCTTGAGATGGCCACATCTGAATATCCTTACTCAGAATGCCAAAATGCTGCTCAGATCTACCGTCGAGTGACCAGTGTAAGTCTTACCCTGATTGATTAGTGAGCTTAAGTCACACCAAAAAAAGGAATGCCAAGCTGGATATCATTGAACCATGCAAAAGGGAGCAATAGTAGAAAGCATACTCAGTCGCTGGGGGAAGAAGGAGTTGAGAGATTTTATTGCATCTGATTTAGTGAGAGCAAAAATAAAGATCAAAGAAGTACCAGTATATTCTGGATTCTCCTTGCACTTAAAGCTTTATTTTGAGATATATTATGTTTAAAAATACTCTCATTACTACTGTTCAAACCCTAATTTATTCTTCTAAGTTCTCATTCCCTCCGACCATAAAACATATTATCTGAGTTAAAAATAATGCTTTTACTCAGGTTGCTTTGTTCACAGACCTTTCCCTAAGTGGTTTAAAATTGATTTATGAATTTATTAAATCATTTATAAGTAACTACAAGGGTTTAAGACTAACAGTAATTTCTGGATCATCTGAATACCCTCACCTATTAGGATATTTCTCCCATTGTTTCAGAGATGTCTGTTTACAGTCAGTGTTCAAAATAGGACCTATCAGGGTCCACAGAAGGTACTTTATTGTATGTCTCTTAATCTACAGCTGTTGCCCCCTACTTTCTTTTTCTCAGGCTGGGCAAGGGCAAGAGAAATGTAGTAAGTGTAGTTTGTTTAGCCTTCAGATAATTCTGATGAGTATCCTAATCACTATTCTACTTTGCCCTTAGAAAGTTCATCTGCTTTGCTTGTTAGATATCTGAGTTCTATATCTATATCCCAAGTTCAATATTCCCCAGTTTTCCCCCAATGCCTAATAATTTACATTATCCCTTTTTTCTTTGGGGAATAGGATGGGATAGTCACTGGAATGAATACCCCTGTATTTTATCTAGAAAATAAATAAATAAATCCTCCCCGCATTTTAGTTAGAATTCTTGAAACCTCAAGAAGTATATTTGATTCCTTGTTTTTCTATTCACCAGATGCTATTTATCAGATTCTTGGTTCAGAAGAACTCTTAGGTATAGTCCTTCATTCCCATTGTCAGAACTCTGATTTCATATCTTACTTAATTCACACCTTACACTGCCATCCTGAAGTAGTTAACATTATGAACTTGTTTTTCTGCTTCACTTGAACTAGTTGAATTTCCTTGCTATTTCTTTTTGGTATAAGAAGCTTTCATGATACCAGTTTGCTTATGAAAGCATGTACAAATTCTTACTATAATCTTCGTTCTTCTTCATCTTTGTCTAAACACCTTTTTTAGTCAAGCCAGTCCTCTTTATTTTTTTATTTTATTTTTTTTTTTTTAATTTTTTAAAAAGATTTTATTTATTTATTTGACAGACAGAGATCACAAGTAGGCAGAGAGGCAGGCAGAGAGAGAGAGGAGGAAGCAGGCTCCCCGCTGAGCAGAGAGCCCGACTCGGGGCTCGATCCCAGGACTCTGGGATCATGACCCGAGCTGAAGGCAGAGGCTTTAACCCACTGAGCCACCCAGGCACCCTGCCAGTCCTCTTTATTATCTTGCACATCTGCCACATCCTTTCCTTTTTTCCTCTCCATTTGTACATGCTATTTACCTTGTATGCATGCTCTTTTGCTATCCAGTCAGTTTTTATACTGGATTTAACAGACTTCCCCCACAAAATTTTATCTGATGGGCTTCACTACGTAATGATTTTCACCTTTTCCAGGCTTCTTAACTGATCTCAATCATAGCGTTTTATTTGTAATTGATTATTTTATTTAGGAGTTCAAAAATTGAATTAATATAAAGCATTTAAAATGGTGCTTAGTATACAATAAGCACTATATATAGGTGCTTGCTGTTTATTTTTACTGCTTTATATTCTTCTTTAAGATTTGTAACCTTATCTTTACAAAGTATTTCTGTTTAATTCTGTCTTTACCTTTAGCACTATCTCAAATATAAAATAAGTCTCACATGCAAACACATGCTACATACCAAGTTCAGAGCCTGACATCAGATAATTAAAGATGAATAACATATATATTCCGTCTTCAGAAAACTAGCTCCGATATAGAAGATAAATGTGTAAGCAAACATTTCTAATTACAGTATGCTGATAAAAGCTTATTAACTGTATGTCTTTTCTCCTTTGGAAAAATGACTATTCAGATCCTTTACTTGGTTTTTAATTGGGTTATTTGTCTTTTTATTACTGAGCTGTATGAGTTCTTCGTATATTCTGGATAGAAATCCTTTATGAGATAGATGATTTCCAATTATTTACTCCCATTCTGTCAGTTGAATTTTTTTTTAAAGATTTATTTATTTATTTGAGAGAGAGAGCCAGGGGGAAGGGCAGAGAGAATCAGAGAATCTCAAATACACTCCATGCTGAGTGCATGGCCCGACACGGGGCTCAGTCTCTTGATCCTGAGATCATGACCTGAGCCGAAATCAAGAGTCAGACACTTAACTGATTAAGCCACCCCAGACACCCCAGTTGTAATTTCTTAATAGTGTCATTATATTACTAGTGCCCTTTAGGACACAAAAGTTTTTCATTTTGATGAGGCCGAGTTTAATGTATGTTATCTTTTGTTTTTCTCATGCTTTTGGTGTCATATCTAAGAATCCATTTCCAAACCTCAAGTCATGAACATTTACCCCTGTGTGTTTTCTTCTTGGAGTTTTATAGTTTTAGTTCTTATAATTAGATCTTTATTTCATTTTGAGATAATTTTTGTATGTGGTGTGAGGTAAGGGTTTTAACTTGATTCTTTTGCTTGTGACAACTATCCAACTATTATTTCTAGATTTCTATTATGTCTAGACTATTATTTCTCCATTGAATGATTTCACCCTTGCTGAAAAGCAGTTGACCATAGGCACGTGAATTTACTCCTGGACCCTCAATTCTGTTCCATGGATCTGTATGTCTTGGCTTTGTAGTAAGTTTTGAATTCGTTAAGTGTGAGTCCTTTTATTTATTCTTCAGGTTTCAGCTCTTCTTGGTCCTTTGCAACTCTATATAAATTTTAGAATCAGCTTGTCAATTTTTGTAGTTCAGCTGGGATCTGGTAAATATGGCATTGAATCTGTAGATGAGTTTTGACACATGACAACCATCCTGAGTCTTCTAGTTCAAGAACATGGGATGTTTTTCCATTTACTTAGATCTCTTGTAATTTCTTTCAGTGGTGTTTTGTAGTTTTCAGAGTATAAGTCTTCTACTTTAATTACGTTTATTCCTGAATAATGTATTTTGGGGGGGATTCTATTATAAATGGAATTGAGTTTTTTATTTCAGTTTTTGATTGTACATTACAAATACTATTAATTTTTGCATACTGAGTTTTGAAACTGACAAATTTACTTGAATTTATAATAGTTTTTTAGTAGATTCCTTAGGATTTTCTATATACAAGATAATTGAATCTGCAAATACAGTTCTTAAAAAAACATAAGACTTGGCAAGTATGGGTATATGCTTTACTTATGAGAAAGAATTAAAAAAAAAAAGGCTGACTCTTAGTTTAATGAACAGAATTTAGGGATAAAGTTGAAAAAACAAAAGACTGGGTAGTGGTTGGTTTCTGGTAATTTTCTAATGTGAAAAAAAAGACCTATCTCTTGATATGTCATATTCCCCTCCCACGGTAATTACACAATCTGTATAAGAGAAGATAAACACATAGTTCTCAACTTTTTCAGTGAAATAACCAATAAGAGTTTATTTTTAAAAATTAACTATAGAAGGGCGTCTGGGTGGCTCAGTGGGTTAAGCCTCTGCCTTCAGCTCAGGTCATGATCTCAGGGTCCTGGGATCAAACCCCACATCGAGCTCTCTGCTCAGCGGGGAGTCTGCTTCCCCCGCCTCTCTCTGCCTACTTGTTATCTCTCTCTCTGTGTCAAATAAATAAATAAAATCTTTTTTAAAAAATTAAATATAGGAATAATAAGTAATTTTATAAGTGAATTATATATATGTATTTATTTATTTATTTATGACATTTCCTAAGGGTAACTTGCCCTTTTTTTTAAAGTTGCCTGGGATTTTATTTCCTTTCATTAACTCCTGATTTTGCTAGAAATGACAGACTAGTTGACAAAATACTATACTAAAACAAATTTGAACCACCTACCTTTTTTTTAAATTAATTTTTTAAATTTTTGACCCACTTCTTTTCATAGGTCCTGTCAAATCCTTTTTTGAATTCAAATATGTGAATTTAGTCATCTATTGTATCATATTACATTAAGATACCTTACCACATCCAGACATTAATTTTTTTAGCTAACTTTCAAGGAAGAGTTGAGATTTGAGGTATAGAGAGACACAGGAAACTGTATACACCTGAAGTATAAATTGGTTCACCAAGTATTTGAGCATAGGGAGCTGTTATAGCAAAGGGCCACAAACTGGATGATTTAAATCGGCAGAAATTTATTGTCTCACAATTCTGAGGCCAGAGGGCCAAAATCAAGGTTATAGCAAGGTCATGGTCTCTGACACGTGGAGGGAAGTACTTTTTTTGTTTCCTCTTACCTTCTGATGGTTAGCTAGCGATCCTTAGCATTTCTTGGCTTGCATCTGCAGCACTTCAGTGTCTGTCTCACATGGTGGTCCTTCCTCATCTGTCTATGTCTTCTCTTCTTAAAAGGACACCAGTCAGAGTGTATTAAGGGCCCTCCCCACTCTGGGGTTGTACTTGTAATTGCAATGATCTGTTTTCAAATAAGGTCAGATTCTGAGATACTGAGGGTTGGACTTTTAACATATCTTTTGGGAGGACAAGAATTCAACCCATAATAGTTCATGCGTTCATCCAACAAATTTTTTTTTAGAAGATTTTATTTATTTATTTGAGAGAGAGACACAAAGCGAGAGAGGGAACACAAGCAGGGGGAGTGGGAAAGGGAGAAGCATGCTTCCCACTAAGCATGGAGCCCGACGATGTGGGGCTCAATCCCAGGACCCTGGGATCATGACCTGAGCTGAAGGAAGACACTTTACCACTGAGCCACCCAGGTGCTC